TGTAATGTATCCTCACATTCTTTGGTCTCCAGTATTTTTGCTTGTTTTGTGCAGCTTGTAAAGGGGTCTTGCAATGGAAAAAAGTCCTTCACAAATCTTTTATAGTAGGTGCAAAGGCCCAAGAAACTACTCAGCTGAAGGACATTTTTGAGGTGTCTCCAATCCTTAACTGCTGACACTTTTTCTGGATCTGTATTCACACCTTCTGCAGAGGTGACATGTCCGTGGTAAGTCACTTCCTGTCTGAACAATTTACATTTGGAGAACAATTTACAATGGCATCCTTCAGTTTTTGAAGCGCCTTCATATTTTCTAAATGCTCTTCAGAACTCTTCCTGGTGATAATGACGTTATCCAGATATATGAGACAGGCTTCTTAAAGACCTCTCAACCAGGTCTCCATGAAGGTTTCAAATGTTGCCGGCATTATACATAATCGGAACGGCATTATCTTAAACTGCCAAAGTCCTTGACCAGTAATAAATGCAGCCTTCGACATCAGGATGTATCTCTACTTGCCAAGATCTACTGTTTTAATCAAGAAGAATGTTGTCAGTTCTAGGAAGTAAGTAGCTGTCTTACTTTGTAACCTTTTTCAGCTGGCAATAGTAGATGCAAAATCTACTTGAACAATCTTCTTTTTGACTAGAACAATGAGAGATGCCCAAGGACTTACTGATTGATCGAAAAGTTGCTTTCTTGCATATCTTTAGAAGTTTTCCTACCTCCTCCTGTTTAGCAATCGGTAGACGTCGTGAATATTGCTTGATTGGTGGATGATCTCCCATACCATTTCTGTGCTCACCCAATCTAGTTTGATGTATGTTAAAAGATGAGTGGGAGACAACATCTTGAAATTCTAGAGTTACATTTCTGGCAGCATCTACCCTTCATCTGTTAGTTGTGCATTCTGTAATAACTCTGATGTTAGGTTATTCAAAGACACAGACTCTGGAGGACTACCGGCTCATTTAACCTAGGTCACTGGAGCACATGCTGCAAGCATGTCGCCTTTTCTAATGACTTTTGCCTTATTACTTACATTGGAAACTGTCAACAGGACTATGGTCCTTGATGCATCGACAAGTGTGAAGGCTACTAGTACTCCTTTCAGGCTGTTACTATTCTTAGGATATTCCATTATGCCTTACTGGAAATTTCTATTTTCAGTTGTGGACTCAGGTAGTAAAAATTCTGTTCTTGCTGGTATAGGGATATTGTATTGAGCTATTATTTGGTGGATGGATTTAACTCCTCATCTTTCATTCTTAACAGGATTATATCCTTAGAGGCAGAATGTAATTTGTTAAATCCAAGGATATATCATATTTCGTTAGAAAGTCTAATCCAAGTATGCAAGAGCCTGTAATATTTGCTACATTATGTTTGTTGTTGTGATGGTAAGAGGCACTTCCAGACATGATGTTAACATTTAATTTTCCATCAATGTTGATTTTATCTTTGGACATAGTTTGGAGGATAACACAGGAGTTTAACTTCCAGTTGTTGAGCCAGATCTTTTCGGATAATGGTAACATTAGTTCCTTTATCATTGGTCATATTGCAAGAAACTCCATTGATATCATGAAGAGTCCATTACTACTCCTACTCACTGCAAAAATCTGAATTGCTTTAAAGCAGGGCTTCTCAATATCTGGCAATCTCTGCCCTGCGAAAGATAACCTGTAATTAGTTTCCCTCTGCTTTGCTGGTCCGGAAGCAAGGACTAGACCAAATAATCGCCAAGCTTGGCGACTTTTGGAGATTTGGCGCCAAAAATTAGTTAACAAAACAATCACCACCTTGGCGATATATTGCCAATTTAATGAGATAGCCATTTATTTACCTCAATGTTAAATGGACTTCTCCTTGTAATCTTATTTTTCTGGCAGAGCTTCGACTCTTCAGGTTGTCATGTTATGTGATAGAAAAGATGTACAATTTTACATATAATTTTACTAAAATTATTTATATATGTACAAAATTCATAACAATATTTTATTGCAGTATCCTTTTTCCTGTGGTTCATCATATATATCAAATTTCAATGAAATATGTTAACCAGAACAAGCTCTACATAGGTCCGAGTAGGATCATTTTAATTTTAATCATGCTGTACATTCAAAAGTTTTCTTCAGCTCTTTTTTTAAGATATCAAACACCTAAATAAAATGACACTTTTTCCTATAACATGTTTTAATCTAAATTTTAATTATAATTATCCTTAGCTTGACAAACTATTTACTTAACACGGATGCGAGGAATGAGAGTGTTGGTGCTGTTAATTAAATTAAATATGATTATTAAGCATATTAGCTAAGCATTTTTAATTACTGTAAAAGCCCTTATTTTCGCGAGGCTTTAATTTTCATGAGCCCGTCGTAATTGCGAAAATTTAAGTCTCGCGAAATACTTTTTTTTTCCGCCTCAAATAATAATAAAAAATCAGAAATTTTTCACTTACCCAAAATTTAATGATTTATTGCACAGTTACAAGCTTTTTCTTGACAACTTTCTTTCTTATAACTATTTTTTGAATAATATACAACTATATTTCTCGAATATAAAACAATAAAATTAATATAAGGCAGCTCATTCACTTAAAATACTATTTATACCAGCTTCTTTGAAGCCATTCAAAATTATCTCATGTTTGGCTTCAACACTGTTAAATACGCGCACAAAGGGGGTGGGCTGATTACACTTTTGGTGCAAAAGGGGGAGGGGAGTACGCACATTGAGCCAAGGTCAAAGTTGATAAGCACTGTGGATTATTTTAAGAGCGATGGGGGAGGAAGTATGCAAAGTGTACCTCAAGGGTCTTGTTAAGCCCTATACTCTATTTATTTTATGCTGCAGACTTCCCTAAACCTAACAGTAACGACTCCATCCTTGCATATTATGCAGACGATACTGCCCTGGCAATTAAGTCTGCGAACATTAACTTCGTTATTAAGAAACTACAAGCTTTCATTCCAAGTATCGAGTCATGGTGTGCAAATTGGAAAGTGAAGATTAATGCTCAAAAATCTCAATTATTGATCATTCGCAGAATAAAAAGAAATAAGCAAGTGAAGAATCACCTTCTCCTCTTTAATGAAAGAGTTCCTATAGTGAAAAGTGCCAAATATCTCGGAGTCACTCTTAATGATCGTCTTACCTGGACTGACCATATCAACAATGTTCGAACCACTGCACTAAAAATGATCAAGTGTTTGCTTCCTATATTCGGTAAATACTCTAAAATGGATTTGGGGAAGAAAAGACTTGTTTATCTCTCCACAATTAGAATTATTTTGACTTATGCATCTCCTGCCTGGGTGGCAGCCAAACACTCAAATGTAAACAAACTCCAAATCGTTCAAAATAAACTCCGTATTATCACAAATGCACACTATTGTGTCCGCAACAAGACCCTCCATGAGTACCTCAAAATCGATACTATCGCGGTACATCTGTGAAAACTTAATGATATTCTTCAAAAATGTGCAGGAGTGTAACTTCATGAATCATTTCAACATGTTTCATTATGAAGTTCTCAACGATGATCGATTTCTTTGACCTTTCGCAGCATACATACTTAGTGGAAATGAAAATTTCCCCACCTAATACCAAGTTAGCAGAAATTTTGAGCTGTACATAGTGATTTTACTCTTATTTTCTTTTACTTTACTCCAGAATCTGCGTTTCTTCAATATTCAAGAAGCACTTCTAAAAGTCAGCACCTGGGAGAGTGACCTCCAACGTGACCAAAGAACTTGAGTTCTATGTTCAGCCTTGTTGTACGACTTTCTGCATTTTTAGGACTGAAATTTCTTATGTTCCTTATATTTATCATATTGAAGAACATGGGAAAAATAGTGATTTTTCGCTATTGCAACCAATTATTTAATTATTTTACTCTTTTCATCAGTTTTGGACAAGTTTATGCTAAGCGAATCAGAATGCCTGATTCCACTCACATGATATGTGACTGCTTATTCTAAGTATGCTCTGGGATAGACATCTTGAATTTGTATATATGTATTTGTTCTGCATTTAGTCTGTTGTTTTGTAACTCTTACTAAAATTATTGTATATTTGCTCTCCTGAATCATCTTCGACTGTTATAATGAAAACATGATTCTGTTTACACCACCCCCATCACGCTATCATGGACTCCGAACTTCAACTTACAGGACTGCTAGACTGTATTAAGTTATGAAATTTGGGTTTATTCCATATATTGTTACTCTGATGATTATTAGAAAAATTTCCTTTTTATATAATTATTTCCCCAATTTCGTACATTTTATGTTTTCTCCAGCATTTCTAACCTGAAATCTCGCAACGTATTTAACGACTATTTCACACCTCACTTGACAAGGTAGTCACGCTCTCTCAACATCTGCAATCCTGACTTAGGTCTCACTCATGCATTCTCCTACTTTCAGCACTCTATAGCAACTAACTCAAACAGCCGGAACAAAACTTGCAAATCCTGAAAGTTAATCAGCAGCGCATCCAGCGGAACTTGGGGGGGGGGGGGGGGCGAACTTTTCAGACAAAAGGAAGTATCTTAAAATGCTTTATGCAAAAGATGTACTTTTGGAATTTTTCAAATTTCTCAACTTTACTTAGGTATTTCTGAAATTTTTCAACTTTCGGCTCTTTTCATATAAAATTCGCGAAATCACCGATATATTCATTTTCGCGAAAATAAGGGCCCTTACAGTATTCCATTCTTCGCATATGTAGTTTCTCTGATCATTTTTATTGAGAAAAAATTGCATTTTTTTTTTAAAGCTGTTTTGCCAATGAGACTAAATTTGCAACAAAAATGTTATCACAAATTTTCATGCCATTTTTATTATTTCAATAAATTTTAAATTATGTACGAGAATTGCATTTTTATTTTATTATATTAAGTAAGTAAAAATAATGATTTTTTAAAATTTTGGTGATAAAAATAATTATGCTATGCTTATCTGATATTTATTCAGGTTTTTTTTTCATTCCAGAATACGAATCTTTTGAAAAAGTTTGAAGGCATGTCTGATTATGACATTTTAAAAGCAGAATTATCTGCAAAATCAAAAGAGATTTCATATTTACAGCATGAACTTGCAGAAGTACATAAAAATGCAGAATTGGAGAAGCAAACATATATAGAAACCTTACGAATTCTGGAAGATAAAATAAAATCACAAAACCCTATGGTAAATTTTCTATATCTCCTATACCTCCATGCATTCAATATAACAGTTTTATTTTTAAACTAATCAAATCATATAAAAAATTTATCCATATTTTATTAATCTTTGAGAGAATGTAATATTTTTCTCTAATAATAATCTTTTTTAATTGCTTTTAGTTGCAACAAACTCAGAGAGAATTAAATTTTACTAAAGATAAATTACAAATGGAAGAATTAGCCTGGAATAATGAAAAAAGGAAATTAGAGCAAGAAATAAACATTTCAAGAGAATTATACAAGGATGTGATTAATAGGTAAGAATAAAATTAGATTTATGTTATTGAGATTAGTGCTGTATAGGAAGGAAATACACTGAAGAGACATAAAAACTGGTATAGGCATGCATATGCTAATAACAGAAGTATGGAAACAGTCACAGCAAAGCGTGGTGGTTGATAGCGCCTATATAAAACAACTTGTGTCTGGCAAAGTTGTTAAATCAGTTACTGCTGCTACAGTGGCAGGTTATCAAGATGTAAGTAAGTTTGAATGTGATGGTATAGTCACCACATAAGAGATGAAACATAGCATCTCCAAACAAACAAATCAGAATATGATGAGCCAAATATTTATGCAGAAAGTTTGCTGCCTGGACTCCAGCTTCACTAACATAACAATCTAGAGCAGCAATTGTCAGCCCTTAAAACTTTAGGGACCACTACATATATAATTTTATATTTGGCGGACTACTAATATGAATTTAAAATTATATATAATTTATATATAATAAATACACTCACGTTTGTGAAAATTGCAACACCATGAAGGACTTACGCGAGTGAGCTGAAATTTTCAGGAAATGCAAAGTAGCGCATGATATGCAAATGATTAGAATTGCAAATCCGTAGCGCATGCGTATGCTGAGCAGCGCCCTCTGAACGGCTGATGGATCCGAATAAATAGACGGCTGTAGCGAGGCGTGTATGGTTATCGGTGGTTATCTGCTAGTGGTAAACGTTAACTCAATCTGTACTTATGCCTCGTCGACGAAAGAGAGCGAGATTTGAACAACTTACAGAGTTGAACGAGGGAGAATCATCGGCCTTCGTGAAGCTGGATTGTCGTATCGTGCAGTAGACTCTCGTGTGCAGCGTAACAGCAGCACAGTGATGCGCATTTGGAAGCAGTGGACGGACGAGTGTCGGACAACTCGGAAATCCGGGAGTGGACCCTGAAATGTGACGTCAGCTCGCGATGATAGACACCTGGTCCGCAAGGCGCGGACGGACCGTACAGCTTCCTCTAGACAATTGGCAGCACTGTGGTCAATAGCTACAGGTGTTTCATTGTGTGCTTCATCAATTCGTAGACGTCTGCTGCAGTGTGGACTGCGCGCACGGACTCCTTTATACAGGATTCACCTAACGCACGACCATCGCCGCCTGCGGCTACAATGGGCCAATCAGCATAGAGACTGGCGTGCTGATTGGCAGCATGTCGTGTTTTCTGACGAATCCCGCTCATGATGGCCACATTCGTGTCAGACGCTATGCCGGTGAACGCCACCTTCCGGAGTGCATTATCGAACGCCACAGTGGACGAACACCGAGTTATGGTCTGGGGCGCCATAGCATATCATAGACGATCTCAATTGCTACGAATTGTGGGCAATCTGAACAGCAACCGGTATATCCGTGAAGTTCTACAGCCCGAAGCTGTTCCCTTCCTTCAAAGCTTGCCAGGCGCTGTATTTCAACAGGAGAATGCCCGCCCTCATACTGCTCGGATTGTTAAATCCTTCTTTGCAGCGCAGCAGGTACAGCTTCTTCCTTGGCCTGCGTGTTCCCCGGATATGTCGCCAATTGAACATGTTTGGGATGTCATTGGTCGGTGTCTTGCTCGTGATCCTCGTCCTGTTGCGTCTGCAGACGAACTTTGGGTACGCGTACAAACGATATGGAATGCTCTTCCTCAGTCAGACATTCAAACTTTGTTTGACTCCATGCCACGTCGTGTAGCAGCACTTATTGCGGCACGTGGTGGCCACACAAAATACTGATTCTGATCTCTTGTTCTTGTTTGTTTGCTTTGAACATTTATCATTTATTTGTACCACTACCACTCAACTGTGTATTAAATTGCATTCAATTATGACGATTCCTTCTTGGTGTTGCAATTTTCACAAACGTGAGTGTATATTATTATATATAATATATAATTTTCGAAACATTTGGTGTTCAGCAGCATGCCTTTATGGAAATTCAGGCTACGCTCCTGACTTTGAGTAACAATTAAAACACCAATAACATTTCACTGATACACATATTTCGTTCACATTGAAAAATTATAAGTACAAAAATCTTACATTTTTCTACAGAAAGCTTCACATTTCCATATCACTGAAAAGGAACTTCACAAAAAGCAAGAACAAACCGGCAAACACAAAGCAATATCAATAAATTGAAAGTGTTATGCCGCCAATTTTTAATTATTGTAAACATAATAATCATTGCTTACTCAGCAATGGCACCATCGATCAACAGTTAGGCAAAACAAAAATGGAAACTTCCAGTGATGCAATTATAATCAAGAATGCAGATGGTTCTTATGAAAATCCATTAAATTGCCTACTGGCACGGAGAAAAACTGCATTATTAACGACTATGTTTGTAATTAAAAGGAAAGAGAGTTCCAGTTCATGCTATTATTGATAACAGCAGCATATCCATGGATGCCAACTCTCACTTTCAAATGTTGCTAGATGCACCTGCAAAAGTAGCTAAAAGTCAAAAGGAGATTTGCTAAAAGTAGTAACTAATTTTTTTTTTTTAAAGTGTAATCCATATTCCATAATAGGTTTTGTTACTTGTCATTTTTTAAACTGAATCTTCATAAAAATATAAATAATGTCCCAATTTTTCTGCGGACCATCAAAAGGTTTGTACAGACTACAGTTTTTCTCAACCACCAGTGGTCTGTTGACCACTGGTTGGCGACCTCTGATCTAGAGCATTTCTTTGGAGAAGAAATCATTGATGTATTTTTAAAAGGGGGAGGGGGAAGTCAACAGAGGTGATTGGCTGTTGATACAATGTTTCTGTTAGACAAGAAGTTCTAGTGAGATTTAGAAACCCACGATTATTGTATATCTGTTGACTTTCGTGAATCTTTCACAATATTTATAAGAATTGCTCTAATTTTAAAATTTTTTGAGCAAAATAATTTTTTTTATGAATTTGTAACTTTTTGCAAAAGTGCTAAGAATTGTGCCAGTTTTAAATCATCAGACCTATTTTTAAAGCACATACTCTTGGCAGGCATTCAAGCTACTGTTTAAATTTGCTCCCTTTATTGCATATATACACACACACACACCAAAAAAAAAAAAAAAAAAAAAAAAAAAAAAAAAAAAAAAACCTTCCTTTTGCAATACAAATTTTTTTGTTATACATACCAAGTTGGTGACTTATGAACATTTTCCCGATTTTAAGATCACTTTATCTATGAGAATTTTGATTCAATGATTTGTGTTCCCTGATGATTTTTTTAAAATTAACATAGTGGTGTTAATGACAAGAGTATATTAAAATTATATTTTTGAGAAAAATGTCATTAAAATATATTTTTATTACTGTCTGTTTTAAAATATCTTTACATTTTGTCTCAATTTTTTAATATCTTGATTCCGAAATTTAAGCAAGATAAATTCTATAAAGCAAAATCTGTGAATTACCTTTGAGCAATATTTCATTAATGCAGAATAGATGTGTTTGGGATAAGCTTCTCGTATTATTGGGAAAATTTTCAGAAAAGCAGTGAAAATGAAGTTAATTAAATTTTCTACAATATTCTTCTTATTATTATGGTTTCAATTATTTACACAACAGTAAGTGCCATGTGTTAATGGACTGTGTCTGAACAGCAACCCTTTTCGAAGCTTTTGTGATGGGTGCACTATAAGTCACCATGGTTATGACTGCCAGCCATTCGGTGACAGTTTGCAAAGATCTCCAAGTACAGTTGCCACTTTGGTGCAGTTCGGTAACAAAAGGGCTCTAGGCCATTTAAATAACTGTAATAATAAAAGAAATAACTATCAAACTTTGGTCCCAAATGTCATTTTCTTGACACATTTATCTTTTCTTTATTATTGTAATTTTCATCATTCAAAAGTATGGAAAATTGCAAAATAATGTAACATGAATAGAGATCTATGAAAGGAAATTTCTCTGTTACTAAAGATTTTGAATGATGGCAATTTAAAAGATGCATCTTAAATATCTGAATGTATGTTATATCATTTTGTTTTCTTGGGTTATTCTCAATATTGAAATTGCTATAGAAATCAATTTCTGCTGCACATTCTAAATACATGCAGTTTTATAACACAACAAAAAAATTTAATTACATCAGAAAATTCAAATATGAAAAGAAACTATTGAGGATGAAATTGATTAAATAAAGCAAAAGGGAATTCTTCTTCAAAAAGTTCAAAAAGATGTTGAACATATGAACAAATTAGCACAACAGGCAAGCAGCATTTTAGCATGTGATGCCAAGACTAGCAGTAATATTGATTTGTTTATTAAAGCAATACAATTAGTTAAAGAAAAGGAAATAAGTATAAATAAGCTAAAAGAGCCTTATTACTGCTTTTTTAATTAATACTTTTAAAGCAGTTTTTAATGTGGCCATATAAATTTTCTTTAAAATATGTATATCTATTATAAGCATGCAAGAAATTATATCCTTAATTTAATGTTAACTACATGAAGAATTTGGATTGTGTTTCATAATCATGCATCCCGTATGCTTCCATTTTATTTTTAAAATAATATTGAAGGCAGTTGAATAGACAGCTATTTTAATTTATTCAGTTCTGGTCGGTGATAGATCCTCAACATATGTGTATTATATATATGTGTGTGTTGGTAGTCTTTAAATATTCTTTAAAAAATTCTCAATTTTCCTTTTAAAGGAAATGTGTACAGACCCTGTTTACTTTCTGTTAAGAAAATATATGTATACTAATTAGCATTTTCTTTATGTAGAATTGAAGAACAAAGAAGTGATATACAAGATTTGCATAGAACAGTCCACATTCTTCACTATCAGATAGCTAATAATAGCAAGCCAACAAATTTACCAGAAAAAGTTTTTAAAATGCAGCCTGGAAGTACAAAAACCAAAAGTGCTTTTTTCAAAGATTCACCACAGAAGTACAGAGAATATTCATTAAAATTTATTGCAGAAACCAAAGATAGGATTGATAAACTTCAACAGGAAACAGGAGCTCTTCAGGATAAGTGTTCATATGTTTTCAGTGCTGTACCTGCAAACCATCATCTTTTAAAATTAGGTATATCTGATTTTAAGACAAAGCCAACTAGCTTCTTGAAATCAGACAGCATCGGTTATAATAGATTAGATTCATTAGTTAACATGTCAAAAAAATGCTTTAATAGCACGGTTAAAAATGGGCCTAATTCATCTTCACTATTTCGTGCAGAAACTAAAGCATTACTTTCAGATAATTATGGATCAAATGTGCCTTCAAAAAATAGTGATTTCAGCATGCATTCATCTGATAATACCCTTCATAATCAAAACTTAAAAAAATTAAATATTGAATCAGCAGTATCTAACTCAGCATTAAAATCTCATTCATTAAGCTTTTCGCCAAATCCGTTTGCATACCAGTTACAACCTGAAAATAAGTCACAAGACTCTAGTAGATTTGGTACAAATTTCATGCATACTTTGCTGAATGAAAGTAAACAAACTGTTTTAGAAAATGTGCCTAACCCACAAGAATATAATAGCAGCATTGTCACTGATGCTTCAGGAACTCAAAATACAGAAGTGAAAATAAGTCCTAATGAAGGTATATGTAAAAATTCGAGAATTTCTGAACTTAAAGTATCTTCAGAAGACATAGCCGCAGTTACTGTAAAAGATCCAGGTCAGGTTATTGATAATGAGCACAGACATAAAGTAACAGCTGAAAACTTTCAGTTATCTGAACAAACAAAAGTAGGAAGTGAATATTCTATAACCCAAGAGAAAATAATAGATAAAATTGAACCAGTAGTTCATACTGCATCAAGTGATCAAAAAGAAAGAGAAAATACAAATTTACAAGAGAAGGTAATATCTAAAACCACAGATAAAAAAGTAATAGAAAATTCTGTTACATCTGGTTTGCTTTTCAATGAACCTGAGATTAGAATAAACCTACCCAAGATCAATCTTGATGAAGTATGGAAAAGAAAGTCATCAGTTTCAAATCCTTCCTCTCAAATTAAAGAAGCAAATATTTTGGTCAATAATACGGAACATATTTCAAATATATCCACTTTTAAAAACTCAGAAATTTCTCTTCCCAATAAAAAAGTTTTACAAGAAACAATAGCACATACACCATTTGTTTTGTCCAGCAATGGAAAAAAATATTCTGATCAAAATGAAGTTTTAAATAACCCCAGCTCAATACAAACATCTGTGATTTCAGCTAGTGACAAAAATGAAAATTCTGATTTTACTATATTGGTAAGTAAAGAAAATGATATTTTAGGTCTGAAAAATGTTGTTTGTGAGCCAGGAAGCGAGATGGTAAAGCACCAACAGAACGATACAAAACAAAATGATTTATCAGTATTAAAAAATAATGATATCATAAGTAGTCTACAAAGTGAAAGTATTACAAGGCCTACTAAGGAAGATTCTAAAGTTGAGACTGATATAAAATCGGTTCAGGAACAAGTAAGTGCAGAATCTTTAAGTGAACTTAGTGAAGTGCATCTGTCTTGTGGCAGTGAACAAGAACAACAAAAAGATGATTCTGATTTTTGGTAAAAAAAAAAAAAAAAAAAAAAAAAAAAAAAACAACATATTTTACCAGAGATTAAATGTTTTTCAATGTGCTTGCATTAAAATACTTACAAGTAAGAAAATAAAGTTTTACAGAGATGAGAAGAAGCTTTGTGTGTTATGCAGAATTAATATGTAACAACAAAGTTGCACAGTCTTGATTATCTGATATATCATGAATGATCACATCTTATTTTATACTTTACCAGTTTGCCATTTTATAGAGTATCTAGAAAATATGTGAAAATCTAAGCATTTCATCCCACCTTCATAACGGTACAAAATGCTTAATTTTACATTTTGCTGGTAACATATGCAGGTATGTGTATATCATAGACACCAACCTAGAAACATGAAAAAATCAAAATTGATTTAGATTTGCTGTATATTGCATGATTTAGGTTATTTGACTATTTATATTATAATTCTGACATAAAATATTTTAATTATATATTCTAATTTTCATGTTCTTTGGCTAATTTCATTTTGTAATTTTCTTACACTTTTATACTGAAAAAATTCTGAGCAGGGCAGAAAGTTTCATTTTATCAAAGTATTTTTAAACATGGTAAAAATAAATAATTAATAATTAATGTGCGTATTATTGTGTGGATAAACTTAGTAATATACCATTTTGTACGATACTTTCTTCCTCCTTACTGTGTGCTTTCATAATAAAGTACATTCTGCTAGCAATTAGAGGCCTACAGCTTGAATTCCGTCAAAGGCATTACACATATTTTATGTCTCCTGCCTCTAAAAAATTTTAAAAATCACTCTACATTGGCACAAACTAAATTATAGTGGACTCATCATGAGGATCTGCTGACTAAATCCTCTGTACCTTTGTGGTATAATTGGAAGAATGTTCTGGTAGCAGTCAGAAGATTTGGAGTTCAAATCCCATAGCATATTTTTCATGCTTCCTATTTCGAAATGAACATAATGCCGCTATATATTGTTGAAACAAAATTAAATATAAATACTTATTAATTAAATATTTGGTTGAACTTTCATATAAAGTTCTATAATTGTCTACATTAGATTAAGATGATTCAGATCAAATAAAGTTTAACAAAAGTTATGCTAAAGATTACTACTGATGGGAGAATTAAATTTGAACAATTCAGGCTTCATTCAATAATGAAACTTAAACTGCAAATTTTATTTTCATAACTTAATTTTATTGATGAAAAAACTGCAAATTTTATTGCTGAAAAATATTTTCTTTGGTGAAAAGATTTGGTTATCTGCCAGATGTGCCTAGGAGAATCAGCAGCTATGCTAAATATGTGTGTGTGTGTATATGCGAGTGTGTACATATTTTGTAAATTGATATAAAAAACCTAGAGTTTCAGTTGGCAGTTGCAGTTTAAGAAATATTAAATAAAGTAGGCCTTCAGAATTTGAAAAAAAAAATAATCTTACTTAAAATTGTCTTATATTAATAAAAATTTTGGTACTCACAAAGTACTGTCATGCCAATGCTGACGTGATGAAACTTTGCATTTGTTCTAGTATATTATTTTAAAGACCTTTCAGAATCAGTTTTGCATATCTCAAGCCTACTAAAAAGATCTTTAATTAAAAAAAATCTTTAATGTTTGGTAATTAAGATAATTTCTTAATTAATCTTTTCATTATTATTTTAATTTCATCTATTTTAACTGATATCTCATGATCAAACTTGTCATAGTTTTAACAGATTTGATTCATTTCTTGAACTGGATTCTTCAAGAAACCCCTTAAACCAACTGTTAAGAAATTTATATGCGACATCTTGTAGATCTACTTCAGCAAATATATAAGGTGTAGAAATACCTTGTATATTTTCTAAGTAGTTCTTGTGGATACTTTTATAGAATTATACAAAGTAGCATTTCACTTATTTTAGATTTTCTTAAAATAGAATAACATATTTGAATCACTGTGCTTATTATTAAAAAGATATCATTCCAGACTGCAACAGTTTCTTATTTAAGATGATTTAGGAGTCATAAATGAAACTGTTTTGATTTGAAATGTATACATTTGTTGCATGTTAATTGCCTTTTATTAAATACTGGACATGTGCAAAATATTTTGCTTTCCTCAATGAACAAATTCCATTGTAGAATATATTTTATTGGCTCTCAATCTACATTATATTTTCCATTATTGTCTATAAGCTGTTGACTTTCATCAAATAATATTTCCAACCCTCTCCTCTGATGCAGAAGTACATGTCCACATTTAATCTTTGGTTTGGTGGTAGAAGCTTCCAATGTATCATAACTTGAAAAACCCAATGTACATTTAATAGAATTGTGGATGTAATTTTGCTGGGGATGTTGGAGATTTGCCCGGTCTACAAATAGTAATGTCATTTGCATTCTTGTAAAGAAACCATTTTTCATTTACCAGTTGCCATTTGATGCAAAAATCAAGATGATGATTTTAGAGCAAAAATCTTTTTAATAATAAGCACAGTGATTAGAGATGCATTATGAGCAAAGCCTGAAAAATGTGAATTTGCACTCTTTCTTATTATGCCTCTTTCTAATAAAAGTGCTCCAAATCCAGAGATGAAGAATCTGCTTCTTAAGTGCACTTCTACAAATTCCAAATTTCTTTGCCACAATGTTCTTGGTTTCTAACAGGTTCTTTGTCTTTCAGTTTCAGAGGGCTTTTTGAAACTTTAGCACTCAATATTACTAAAGTGCAAAACCGGCAGGTGAATTTTTATAATAATCTTATTGTCATATATGCTAAATATGATTCAGTGCGCTTCTTCTATTCTGTATCCTAAATTGTATTATATTTGTATATGTTAAAAAAAATCTGATTTGGACAATTTTTTTAAATCTTGTTTATCGTGTAATGTGCAGTGAGTCTTACTAAATATAATTTAGAAACACCTCATACATTCAATTTAAGAGCCCAATTAAAAAGTTTGCAAAGTGTTACTACAATAAAGAATGCAATAACCATTGAATACACATAATAAAACTTACCATACTGTTCTAAAGTGTAAAGATGCCTGCTTCTCTTTCATGGAGGTTTATGAAAAATTATTATTATTCCATATATAAAGAGTCACTTAAAACAGAGGTTTTCATTATTTTCTAGAACTTGAAGTAATTAGAAATTTTATGTAGCAGTACACCCTGGTATGTGTATTTGCACATTTCTGGAAATGCATCATAAATATTACAGGTTTCATATTGTAATGTAATTTAGTTTGAATTTGTACTAAGATTTTACTGGTTAATGTAATACATATCAATCTACTCTTTAAAAGGGAAAACATTTTATCTCCAAAACATTCAGTTGCTTATATTTCATAATGCAACTAATGTTATATACCATGTAAAGAAAAATATCTATGTACCTTGAAATAGTTTGCCTATAAAAAGTCGGTTCCCGTGATGAGAGTTGTCACTCCATCTAGACTATATTTTAAAATTTTAGACTGCTGCAGTTGAAATTTTATTTTAAAAACAGCACTGCCAGTTTTCTCATTGATTGTTTGGCAATATGGGATGGCCAGCTTTTCCACATGCCAATTCCAGGCGCTTTATATCACCCTAATCAGCAATAGTAGTCAGCACTGCTGGCTGCCATATCATTGAGCCACGGTTCAAATCCAATAGAATGCTTGGATATTTGTAAATGTATAGAGACTTTACAGCACAATCACACTTAAAATACACGGTGAGCTGTAAGTCCTCTTGAGTGGTTTGGTGATGTAGGAAGAAGTACAGGAGACTACTGGACCCCATCCCCCAGCCAAGATTCTTCTTCAAAATAGGAAGAGAGAATAGGCAGAGTCGTACTGTCACTTTTAAAAAGGCCACAATAAAATTCATGGACTTGTTTTGATATTACTGTCACACAAGTGAGAGCTATAAGTCACACTACCACCAAGAGCTTTATAGAATTGAGGTCTGAGCTTTGAAAGCAAGCCAGTTCAGCACTTTAAGACCCATGCCATTAAAGTTGCTCTGTACAGTATGTGCTTTGCGCATAAAAATACAATTCATATTGAAAAAAAGAATGGGCTTATTTAAATTACTGCCACAATATGTACAGAGCAGGATTATTTAAAAATATTGAGATATTTTATATTTTTAACTTGATTCATGAAAATCAAGAAGGCAAATCCAAACCATGATGTTTCTCTCTAAACTTCACAATCAAGTAACTTTAATTAGCATTTTTTACCCGCACACATGCCCACCAATTCTTATCACTTCTCAGTAGACTCACCATTATTCAAAATGCCATTGTCTTTTATATCACTGTATGCAGTACTTTGTGGAGTATATTTGTATTCATATTTATTAAAGTTCTGGCCTTATGAAAGAAAAATTAAAATTCTATGAATAAAATTTCGATATAACTGCTTAACCCTCTGAGCGGCATGACCGGCTTTATTCGGTCATGAGATTTTTTGTCACTTGATACATATTAGCTTATAGCTTCAGATATTTTGCTTTCTTTAATAATGTAAATGTAAATGTAATCTTAATGAATGCAAGTTTATGAAAATAGAGGCTAAAATAAGTAATTATATAAACACAGGTCTTCATGGCAAATCTAAAAACCCTTGTCGCTCAGAGGGTTAAAAAAGGTTAATGTTTAACATTTATTGATTTCAAAGCTTGTAAAATAATAATGTGTCAAAATTTTGTTTTCAACTGAAATAGTGCAGTATTTTGATAGTATGAATTTTGTATATAATAAATTATTTTTATACAACTGTTTCTATTGTATTTTGATTATTTTCAATACTTTAAACATTATAAAGAGTGAGATTCATTAAAAGAAAAATAACATCAAAACATATATTTTGAAGTAATAATTTCACTATTTACAATTCCTGTGATAAAATACACAGCCACAATTCACACCTCAAAATGATACTACATATATATATATATATGATGTTAGTCTCATATGTAATCTTTTCTGAACAAATATAAATTGAATGAACACATAAAAAATTTCAAATTTTGTGCAGTTTCCTATGATTCTTAAACTATGAGTTTTTGAAGATATCATATCAAGATATGTCTCCACCTTTCAATTTTGAATCATCATTGATTGCACTATTTAGATGCTGCAATGCTGACTGTAAAGCTGACGACAAAGTTGTTAGTTGTTTTTGCCTCTCTTCCTCCAAAACCTTTGAAAAAAAATAATGTGTTAAGATTTGCATTCCTTATTTTTCCAATCAAAGTACTGTGTATGTGTGTCAGTGACACCAGCAAAATTGAAATGAATTTATTTCATCTCTGAGGATGAAATGGAGTGGGTGAATCTTAGTTTATTAAAGAATTATCATATATTACACTGATGTGACAAAAATCATAGGATTCCTCCTAATATCGTTAAGGACTTCCTTTTAACCGAGGAAATGCAGCAACTCGACATGGACTCAACTAGTTGTTAGAGATCCCCTACAGAAATAACAAGCCATGTTGCCTCTATAAACATCCATAATTGCAAATGTGTTGTTGGTACAGGATTTTTGTGCATGAACTGACTTCTCAATATGTCCTATAAATGTTCGATGGAATTCATGTTGGGCCAAATCATTTGCTGGAACTGTCCAAAATGTTCTTCAAACCAATCAACGAACAGCTGTGGCCCGGTGACATGTCATCTATAAAAATTTCATTGTTGTTTGGGTACATGATGCCCATGAATGGCTGCAAGATGTCTCCAAGTAGTTGAACATAACCATTTCCAGTCAATGATTGGTTCAGTTGGACCAGAAGACCCAGGCCATGCCATGAAAAAACAGCCCACACCATTATGGAGCCAGCACCAGCTTGCATAGGGCCCTTTTTTTTTTTTTTTTTTTTTTTGTGTGTGTGTGTGTGTGTAGAAACTCTTGGTTTTAATTGCAGATATTGCTTTTTTAACTTCGTAGGGTTTTCACCACACTCAAATCCTATCATCAGATCTTGAAAACGTGACTCATCTGTTTAAGCCATGGTTTTCCAGTCGTCTAGGGTCCAACTGATATGGTCACGAGCCCATGACTGGCGCTGCAGCCGATCTTCTGTTAATAAAGGCACTCGACTCAAGTTTTCTGCTGCCATAGCTCATTAAAGCCAAATTTTGCCCCACTGTTCTACCAGACATGCCATGCCCATCATAAATCCCATATTGATTTCTGGATATTTTGTGCAATGTTGCTTGTCTGTAAACACTGACAATTCTATGCATGTGTCACCAATCTCGTTCATTAAGTGCAGGTGGTCAGCCCTTGCATTGTCCACAATGGGAGGTTATGCCTGAAATTAGATATTCTCGGCACATTCTTGACACTGTGGACCTTGGAATGTTGAATTCCTTACAATTTCCAAAATGGAATGTCTCATGCATCTAGCTCCAACTACCTTTTCACATTCAAAGTCTGTTAATTTCTGTCGTGTGGCCGTAATCACATCAAAAACTTTTTCACATGAATAACTTGAATTTTAATAAAAGCACTGCCCATTTATACATTTTTCACACGATACTACTGCCATCTATAAGTTTGCATATTTGCTATTTCATGACTTTTGTCACCTCAGTGTGTAAGTTTATAGATATCAAGAGATATGAGCATTCAGGAATTTTTATGGCCAGTATAATCAACCTAAAAGAATATATACAAAATGATTACAATAAATTACATTTCAACTGATTATTTGGTTCATATATAGTCAGCTAATGTTAGCCTTCGTAGGGATCACTTAGTAAAAATAGTCTTGTGAAAGTATAGGTTTTTTTTTTTTTTTTTTTTTTTACTGAAGCAATATTATTTATAAATGCATAGAAGAATGAGCATAAATCAAATACATGGTTACAGTAATGTACAAGTTGGTGCTCTTATCTAGTATCTCTAGTAAAATAAAAATTAACAAATTTTTACAACCATGATATAATATGAGTCGAGTTAGCCAGCAATACCATATAGTCAAGAAATAGATACTGATACCTCAATCTGTTATACTGACATTTACAAGCAGAAAGAATTGCAGTTTCTGTATACGAGGGCCATCCAGGAAGTAGATTACGTTTCCGTCTGTGTCCGCTAGGGGCGGGGCTAGCGCGGCCATCTTGGGGTCAGAGCGTTGCGCAGCTCAGTCTGCATCTAGCCGTGCTCCGTTCAGATACTGTGACGGTTTGAAATGTCTGCGTTAATTGAAAATCCCGCAAGCTGCGAGGTGCGCTCAGTAATAAGGTTTCTGACTGCAAAAAAACTGTAAACCGATAGAAATCTATCGGCAGCTTCGTGAAGTGTATGGGGACAACATTATCACTGAAGGTGGAGTGCGTCAGTGGGTCATAAGATTTCAAAATGGCCGAACCAATGTTCACGACGAAGATCGAAGTGGGAAGACCCAGCATAGTGACCGCCGAACTTCTCGAAAAAGTTGATGCTAAAGTCCGTGAAAATCGAAATTTCACAATAACGGAACTTTCTTTGAGTTTTCCACAAATTTCGCGAAGTTTGTTGCACGAAATCATCAGCGAATAGCTTGGTTACCAGAAGTTTTGTGCAAGATGGAAGGCAAGAAGAGGTAACGAAGTGGTTGAAGGCGCAGGCGGCCGAATTTTTCGACGAAGGAATTTCCAAGCTCGTACATCGCTACGATAAATGCCTTAATTTGTATGGTGACTATGTAGAAAAGTAGTATTTGAGTGTGGCTTTCATCTGTATATAATAAAATTTGTTTCCTATACTTTGTTTATTTTTTTATTCCAAAACGTAATCTACTTTCTGGATAGCCCTCGTATATTTGTAAAAATATATACAGAAAATTAGTACTGCTAATCTTGATTCAGCAAAAATATGACTGACTGGATTCAAAAAGAAAAATAATGAATTAGTAGCACCATTTAAATATGAAGTTACAACTGATGAAAGTAGCTTTTTCAATGGCTGTCTCAGTAGTGAATGAAATTGGTATGAATTTGGAAGCCATAGTAGGAATTGATATAATCAAATGAGATTAACTTACATGCATCAAACACAAACATTTAATTTCATAAAATGAGCATCTGGAATAATTAGATTAACATTAAAATAGACACAGTTACACCTACTCAAACAAGATTACATAGCAGTTAAGAGCATTAGATGTCCTGATACTGTTATGAGGTTATAAAGATATCAATTTTTAAAAAAATGAAGGTATATTTTTGTTATTAATGCATAAATACCAAAATATGAAAATGATAATTCTAGAAATCCTATGTCAAGAGAGAATAATGATAGGTATTATAAATGGGACAAGAGTTTACAAAATATTATATGAAGATTTCAGTAGAATGGAAAAGAACCAGTACACAGATACATATAACCAACAATATGTATCATAATAGTCTAGCTCAGTACTATTCAAACTGTGTTCTGTAGAATCCTGGGATTCTATGCAACTTCCACAAATCAATATTAAAATTTGAAATAATTTTTTAAAATCATGAACAAGCTAAATATCTAAAATAATTAATTTTATTCCTATTGTTATTCTGATGTAAAATAATATGAAACATACTTATTTTTAAGAATATAACTTCACTCTGTCAAATGTAAATAAAGGAGCTAATCTAAGCAGTACAGGAAAATCATTTCTCTTACATGGAACCCGTGCATTTTTTAGTCTCCTCTTTTTTACTAGCAAAGGGATGAAATCCTAAAAATTGCAGTTGTCTTACCCATTCAACATTCTCACTGTTGTCTTCATTACTATGCACTCATGATAAAATGTATACTAATGCATTAAGGTATTCTTTTGATAAAGCTATAAAAATATTCTAAATTGTTTACTTTGTTATACAATGAATTATTCAGAAACAACAAAACTTAGCTTTTAATGCTCAGAAATGTGATAGCTGTTTTGACATAAATTCTTGGGTCTTTTTTTTAAACAAAAGTAAACACTATTGCACTTTAAAATTATATGATCCAATACATATTTATTGCACATCTTTAAAGTGATATACTATTAATCCTTCTCCTTTTTAATCTACTTTGTCATCATGTCAAAGAAATTGTACAATGTTTTGAAAACGTGGATACTTTTAAATAAAAAAATCAAATTTGAGTGATATAATTAAAAAAGTGCACAACAGAACATATTAGACACAAGTGGGAAAAAAAAAAAAAAACTATATGAGAATATTCCTGAACTGAAAATCCATTTGAGAATCATAATAAAATCAGATTACTTACCAATGAAGGAAAGAAAGCCATTAACCCTCTCAGGAGCATAAATGATGTTATTCAGTCACTTTGTAGACATTAACTTGTTATTTAAACAAATTTTATTCTAAGGTTCACTTTTCTGAGGATGGTAGGAATTGAATTAAAAAAAGTTTTTAATTTTACAAAATCCCCAAATTAACAAAGTTTGAAGACATCTAGTTTAATTGAAGAATGGAAGATGTTTATTCACAAAACAAAGATTAAAAAGAAGCAATTATTAATATGGCATAACTAATGAACTACCTTTAATGAAAGAGATCTCTCACAAACAAGTGTGAAACAAACTAAGAAAATACTCAAAGAACAGAAGACTGATGAAACAAACTGCCCAAGATCAGGATTTAATATTAACTGTGAAAAAAATAGCAAAAATATCCACCTATATTGAAGATGCTCTTCTAATTTATAACAAAAATGAAGGCATCAAAAACTCACAAATTTAAATGACAGAAGTAATAAAAATCCCATAGACAGGAGAAAATTATAATTCCAGTCAACAGATAAACTACTGGATGGACGTAAAGTTTCTATTTGTTTTGGGGACACAAACTGTAATTTAGTGACTTGTGTCACAGACACTCAATAGCTGGAATCTTTTACCAATAAACAGTAGGCAACAGACCATACCAAGGTGTAGAATGTGTAAACTAAGTTGTGTGAGTATAACAGTTTTAAATAGCAAGTCATACGAAGCACATTAGATATTGTTTACTATACTAATCTCGTAAATGCAATACTGCAGCAGCATTTGTCAAGCATATGGACAAAAGTGCAGTTTGGACAAATGTTTTTGCTGATTTCCGAGATAAAGGCAAATTGTTCACAGATCAGTTCTGGCTATTCATTAATGGTTTTAAATAAAGTTCTGGCCCAAGCCATAGAAACTGCCATAACTGTCCACGAACTAGCAGAAAGATTGTTGATAAATAAAGTAGCCACTGAAAGATGAATATAAGGACCTGGTCCAACATAAAATTCGATCAGTGGGTTTCACAATAGTTTTCTACGAAGCAACAAGAAAAAGTTATTCAATACTTTTGTTGCTTTCTTCTTACAGAACATAACTATTTTTGAATAAACTGGAGTGACAGAAGATTAATGTATCTTATACCTGCACTGAAAGACTGTGCTGCAGTAATGCAAAAATGTGCCATCAATTTCAAAAATGGACTGCTTCCTATAAAAATTTTATTAAGTCCATTGTCAGATGTCAAGACTGCTGAAATGTAAAAAACAGAAATGCTGGTTTTAGCTGCCAGCAGATGATAAAACTGACATACTATTCACCAGCACTCGTCATTCACAAATTCCTCATGTTTCATCACTATAAAACCAGACCTCATGCTTCTTTAATCACTTGACAAAAATTGCTGGGCTATATATTTTATGCAATAATAATTTTCATACATTAACGGTAACACATACAATCCTAGTAAAGAAAAATTCCACTCAATAAAATAAGTCAAGCAAAAAAATTAGACAGCTTATGAATAAAATTCGCTAGTATGCAAAAAAATTTAGATATATTTTTCCATCACTGCTGATAATAAAGACCAGTCTGTAACTAAAACTATGAAATTCTTGTAGTTTAAACTGGGTTCTAGTCTCAGTGCCTTTCCTCCCCATAGTGTAAATACACGCTATTTTGCTTCAAATACCCTGTATGAAAACACTTTTTCCCAGGCAGATAGACAGTTTGCTTTGTAATAACTGAGTAACTCAAGTCTATACACAAAATTCTTGCCATTTTATCAAAAACTTGGAAGTCAGTAATAAATTAATTTGCTTGTTTTTATTATTATTTGTTTCAATTTGTGTAAAATAACACTTTTAAATATATTTAAGCATAACCTCTTGAAAATATTTGTTGAATATAATGAAGAATATTGCAAAGAAATGTATGAAAATTTTCAGTTAATAAAGCATAATATTACACTAACTGGAATTTTTTCCTCTATGAGAATGATAGAAAAAGTTACATTTTACACTTATAGAATCCTACCACCCACAATGTTGAAATTATTGGGTTGGCAACTAAGTAATTGCGGATTTCACTCATAGATGGCTTCAGTTGAATTTTTAGGGTTGCAGACGTAGTACAAATGTAAAACACATTTTGTTATTTGATAGTTGGCAATTCAGCTGTCAACCAGTAAAAAAAGTTTTTTTGATCGGTTGCGTAGTTTTCGTTTGGCGTTCGTTGAAAAATGGAAAATCAAAAGGAACATTTTCATCATATTTTGCTTTTTTATTTCTGCAAAGGAAAAAACACATTGCAAGCTCATAAAAAGTTATGTGCTGTTTATGGTGACGAAGCCTTAAAAAAACGGCAGTGTCAAAATTGGTTTGCCAAATTTCGTTCTGGTGATTTTTCACTCAAAGTTGAAAAATGCTCTGGTCGTCCAGTTGAAGTTGATGACGACCTAATCAAAGTAATAATCGATTCGGATCATCACAGTACAACACGTGAGATTGCAGAGAAGCTTCATGTATCACATACATGCATTGAAAATCACTTAAAACAACTTGGCTATGTTCAAAAACTCGATACATGGGTTCCTCGCGAAAAAATGAAAGAAACGCATTTAACGCTACGCATTAACAGCTGCGATTTGCTAAAGAAATGTAACGAAAATGATCCATTTTTAAAACAACTGATAACTGGCCATGAAAAATGGGTTGTTTACAACAATATCAAGCAGGAAAAGATTGTGGAGCAGGCCAGGTGAACCAACTCAAACAACATCAAAAGCTGATATTCATCAAAAGAAGGTTTTGTTATCAGTTTGGTGGGATTACAAAGGAATTGTCTACTTTGAACTCTTACCATCCAACCAAACGATCAATTCTGATGTCTACATTGAACAAATAACGAAATTAAACAATGCAGTTGAAGAAAAGCGGCCCGAATTGACAAATCGAAAAGGTGTTATATTCTAGCATGACAATGCAAGGCCACACACATCTTTGGTCACTCGGCAAAAATTACTGGAGCTTGGTTGGCATGGTTTGCCACATCCACCATATAGTCCTGACCTTGCACCATCTGATTACTTTTTGTTTCGATCTTTACATAACTCCTTGAATGGTAAAAATTTCAATAATGATGATGATGTCAAATCGTACCTGATTCAGTTTTTTGCTAATAAAAACCAGAAGGTTTATGAACATGGGATTATGATGCTGCCTGAAAGATGGCAAAAGGTCATTGATCAAAATGGGCAATACATTACAGAATAAAATTTAGTTCCATGAAAAAATTGTCTTTGATTTTCTAAAAAAAACACGCAATTACTTAGTTGCCAAACCTATATTTCTCTATATTTCAATAAAGTTATCTATTTTATTTGAAGATATATGTTTAGGATCAATAGTTAAGATAACAACAAAGCCTGTAGCCCCTTTTTCAAACCACATGCACATACACAGTATATTTACAAAGTTTGAGATTAAAATGTATTGTCCCCTCTAGGAAAAAAGTATGAATGAAATTTATCATTTGATTTTCAAGCTTGTAATTATGCATTTAATGGAAATCCATGCAGCTAATTCTGCATTCATTCATAATGAAGTAAGACAGCCTTCTTTGCAACATTTTGACAGCACTGCAGATTTTTTTTTAAAAAAAACTGAAGATAGAATAAAAATAGTCCATTTTAAAAATTAAAAAACTGTAAAGTAAGTGTTTTAAGAGCTGACTTCAACGAAGCAAGCCAGAATATTTATGAATATGCCAAGCAGGTAACAGAATCCAGGAATGTGTATAAAAAATAAAACAGTTATACAGTTATTTTCTTCTGATCTCAAATTTTATGAATTCTTCGTCAAACTTCATAAACATGCAGTATTAAAATAACACAAATTGTAATCTAAAATTAAATGAAGACTTCTCTCACATGAAAATTTTCCATCTTTTAAGGGGGAAAAAAAAGTGTGTATTAACTACAGAAACAGATACTGATATTCTATGCTATCAATACCTCAACTTGTTAACCCCATTAAACAGTTATTTCTTACCTTGCAGAAAATGAAAAGAAATATATTATCAATCAAGAAAGGGAAAATGGTGGATATCACAGAAATTTTAACAGAAGTTCATTTTGCACTGTATTTTAATTTTTAATTACAAGTTTTATATGACTGTATTAGCTGACTACTTAAGAATTATACTTAAAAATTAATATGCATTTTATAAAGAAAATACAAACCCTTTTTTGTTGGTCTTTATGTTTTTCTAGTTCTATTTTGATTGATTGTAATAAATTATTTCCCTGGTGTTCTCCACAATTAGGATTCTGTACAACTTCCTATGAAATAAAATATGAAAATATAAACATTTGCCAGAATATAATTTCATGCAAAATTTATATGTACTTGCATGTAATTAAAAAAATTGCAAATTAAATTTCAAAAATAGTGTATAAGTAAATCATAATTCAAATACTAATAAAGAACAGAATATAAAATCTACCAAAAAATTCTGTCTGTTTGGAAAGTAAAAGAAAATAATATATTTCTCACATTTTTCATACCTTCAGTACAGTCAAAAGTCTATAATCCGGACCTCAAAGCTACAAACTTTCTGCGCATGTGCACATTTGTGCATATGCATCTGTGCATGCACAAAATACCTTTACGCATGCACGTTTAATGTATAACGGATGGTATAAGCTAAGGTAAAATTATCTAATTCAGTTAATGTTGCAGATTGTGTTGTTTCTTAATCTTCAAACTGGATCCAGCTTATTATTTTTTGCAGACTGTTAGAGCAATTTTATAAAAGTAAGCTTGAACTTTCGATTATGACAAAAAGAATTTCCGATTCTGGAGCTGCCAAAGCAAAAGCATGTTTCAATGTCAATCAAACTAAAAGTGGAATTGCTGCAAAAAATGGTTCACGCTGCTCTGCGGTGGGGGGGGGGGGCATGCCGTGGTGCGCAATTAACAGGAAGTTGATCTGTCAGCACTATCCTTATCTTCAGGGCAGATGTTTTTATTTTATTCGGCTTATAATTCCTTACTAAATGTAGATGCACTCCGTCTCGATGTACATCCGTCTTTGATATGATTTAAATCAAATTCCTCGTCATTATAAATATCACGAATACACATCAAATAGTTTTCTGGTTGCAATTTTCTAATTTTGACTATGCGTAATGTATGCTTTACGCATGCACGTGTTGAAAGAAATGTTTAATTAAGTAAACAAATAAATGTTAAGTTTTTATTTTGTAAATTTTGATACCCTTTAGATCATAATTGCTTTTTATTTCCTAAATTACGGTTTCATATTTTTAATTTTATAATTTCTGCATGCCATTTTACCAGATTTAAATTGATGATCTATAATCCGGAAAAACCAATAATCCGGAATCGCCGAAGTCCCAATGAGTCGGGATTAAAGACTTTTGACTGTAATATTTATCATACAGTATAATTTCTGTCATTACTTTTGACTTCTTGCCAGTATGATAGGAATTTGTAAATGCCATTTTAGAAAAATGTCTTTATCTTGTCTTCAGAGGAGAAGAACGGGAGTAATGCCTGGCTCACATATGCTTTACTTTTGAATTTTTTCCTGTTCAAAAAATTTTTCAAGGACAGAAAGAAGTGATATTTGGAGGGTGCTAGGTCTGATAGATGGAGCAGAATTTCCCAACCTAGCTCTGCTATTTTCTGATAAGTTGCCAAAAGTATATGTAGTTTAGCATTATCAGAATGCAGTATGATGTGCTTCCCAACAAAATCTCTGGCCTTCAATTTTCTGATAGTATCTCTCTGAATTGAGCCTTTCATTAAGTTTCAAAAGCTCGTAATATATTGGTCCTTGAACATCTCACATTATTCACAGAATTCTCTTATTCAGGCTCAAGCTCGATTTAGAGGCGGAAAAAGCAGATTGTACGGGCTCATAGTATGCTCTTTTTCTAATGATGTAGGCAATCTGCTTTTTATCACCAGTTATCATCCAGTCCAAAAAGGGTTTGTTTCTTTTCAAAGCAGAGATGTGCATGGCATCATGAAAATTTTTCACTTGAATTGTGAACACCTATCTGGAATATATATAGACCAATCCTAGTTTCGGAATACATTCCAAAATAGTTTAATGAGCTGAGATAATTTTTTTTTTTTTTTTTTCAGAATCTCTGATGTTGTAAAAAAAAGGATCTTTCTCTAACATGGTCTTGATAATATTGGCATCGATTAAAAATGGCTGCAAAGAGTGTGGCTTATCATTAACGTGGAAGTCACGTGTTTCAAATTCTTTAAAATCATCTCCTGCACATTTCTATCCAAAATTGCATCTCCACCAAAAATTTTCAAAGAGCACATATGTATAAATGCAGTGATAAAGAAAGACAGCCGCATATGTCTCAAATGAACCATTGTCAGACAGAATTTATTGGTAGGCCTTATATAAACTTGGCACATGAATACTATATACAAAAATATACAAAATGGAAATTTGCAAAACAAAATAAATAAATAAAACAAATTTTAAAGAAATATGCATATACATGTAATAAAAAAGGATTCTGCAATATTGATTATGTAGAACGTAGAAGGCTGAATTCGTAATGAGCAGCAAAAATTTTGATGGTGCAGAATGCTGAAATGCTGATCCACAATGAATAGGAAACTGGCAGCAGAGAAAAAAAAAACTTTTCCTTTTATTTCAGTAAGCATGTTACAGCTACAAACAACTTGGCACATTAGATGAAATTGTTATTCAGACTGAGTTAGTTTTGGTTATCAATGCATTTTGTTTGGATAATTAATTCTGCTGTAAAATTATTACAGTACAAAGTCATTAATCGGGACGTCCATAATCCGGACCTCAAAGCTACACTTTCCAAACATGCGAAAACGAATAATGCGTTTAGGCATGCGCATAATACCTTTACGCTTGCACATACACGTTTACGCATGCACATAATACCTTTACGCATGCACGTTTAATGTATAACAGACAGTATAAGCTAGGCTAAAATTATCTAATTATCTCAGTTAATTTTGCAGATTGCGTTGAGCCTTAATCTTCTAATTGGATCTGGCTTATTATTTTTTGCAGACTGTTAGAGCAATTTTATAAAAAGTAAGCTTGAACTTTCGATTATGTCAAAAAGAGTTTCCGATTCTAGAGCTGCCAAAGGAAGTACACAAAGCAAAAGCATGTTTTGATGTCCTTTAAACAAAAAGTGGAATTGCTGTAAAAAAATGGATAAAGGCATGGAAGAAAGTTACAGAGGTTAGTGAAAACGAAAAAATTTCGATTGACAAGTAAGTTAGTCGGTTTTCTCGGCACAGCAATTACAGGACTTGAACAGTGGGACTTTGTAATTGAACAAGAAATTATGTCTGTTTATAGAATTAAAGAGAAAGCATTAGCACATAAAATGAAGTAACTTAAACAACTTACATTGAAAGAAATGTTTAATAAAGTAAACAAATAAATATTAAGCTTTTTTTTTTTTTTTTTTTTTTGTAAATTTTGATACCCATTAGATCATAATTGCTCTTTATTTCATAAATTATGGTATCATATTTTTAATTTTATAATTTCTGCATGCCATCTTACCAGATTTAAACTGATGATCTATAATCCGGAAAAACCTCTAATCCGGAATCGCCTAAGTCTCGACAAGTCCGGATTAAGGACCTTGAACTGCATAAGCTGTTACATCATGAGAATTATGTAAGAGTTATATGAGGTAGATAAGCCTTGAAATAACACAGTGCAAAAAAGAGAGATTACTATTTTTAGAATAGAGAAGAGAAATTAGTTTACACTGCTAATTATCTTTTACATTATTTTTCTTATATATATATATAGCTGAAGTACTTGGTGTTGCCCATGCTTTATGCACAATAAAGACGATTAAATTTGGGGATGAGAGCAGTGTTTTTTCCCTATTCAAAATATCAGGTAGACGTCGATTTTCATCAAGATGTTCACAATAAGCTGTACAAAATTTTAACAAACTTTAATAAAACTACAGATTTTATTTAGCTAGAAATCAAAAATTAGTGTTATTGAAAAGCTTGAGGTCACACAATGTTTTTGTTTATCCACCCAGAGATTAAAAGCATTGAATCTGGCATGCTAACTCTTCAGCATGCCATTTATATGTAACTTCAATTGGGCATATGTAAAATGTGGTGTTTCCAAGTTAATAACTGCCACACAAAAGGATTATCCAAGTGCCTTGTTGATTCTCATAGCAAATGCAAGCCAGGTAGGAAACTATAATTGCTTGAAATCAAAGAGCACATTTAAATCACTGAGTATTAGGCAGATGGCTTTTTATCATACAAAAGTTGTAGCAATGTGTGCTCCAAAAGTATCAAGTAGTTACTACCGATTAGACAAAAAGGCAACAGGTACTCTAATGAGGCAATTGTTGCAGAAGTCTTTTGTCATGCAAAAGTTGCAGCAACATTTGCTGCAGAAACATCATGTAGTTACTAATGATTACATAAAAAGGCAGCAGATAGTCTGACAAGGTGATTTCACACAACGTCAGCTCAAAACATTTACCACATATCTTCATTGTAGCATGGGGGTTTTCCACTGCCTACAAATGGGCATTATATGAAGTGAAAATTCCTTCCACTGTGAAGCAAGACTTAATGGTGAATCACATAGAAGCAATGAAAAGGGAATCTGTAAAATCTGTAATCAAAATAATTATTTGGTTGAAGTGCTTGGACATGCTACATATGATAAAGATGCATTTTGTTCTAAAAATCCTCTAAGGTGCTGCAGTGGGAAACAAAAACTTCATACACTATTTAGCTTGCATTTAAAAAATGAACTGTCCAGTACATGACGTGTAGAAAAGTTCTCTCACTGTCCAGAATAGATGCCAATCATTCTCTTCCCATGTCATCTCTCTCAAAGGTTGCAATTTCAACTAACATCTAGTGCAGGCATGCAGAGTTCATGGCTGAATGTATGCCTCATCAAATAATGCTCTTCATATTATCTTTGTGTAATTTGCCCATTACAAACTGCTAAATACATATCATCTAACTCTGCATTGAAATAATCATCTATCTTACTACCTCTGTATCTGTAGGCAAAATGAAACTTTCTTACAAGAATGCTCACACCAATGCCATCTACCATGGTAAGCAAGCATTTCTGACCCTGCACTGTGAGTCATCTAGATGCACCTAACCCCTCTCATAAGTTCATAACTCTGATAATGAGACACCATGTGAGTATGTCTATGCACACACATATAACTCAGGCTGTTTGACAATAAAAGATAAAAATGTATTTTGCCTTGCTGTCTATTTAGCATGCATGCAGGAAAAGCAGTTAATATAGACCTATTATGCAGATTTAATCACTGTTCACATAGTTCAAAATGAACAATTTTTCAGTTAATTTTATTAATATATACAGCCTTTCATTAAAAAGACTTAACTATCTTTGACCTTCTTGTCCATTTGCATCCCCTCCATGGTTCTGGGAGAGATCCTGTTTTAAAAATGTCTATAAAGTGGTTAGTCTCTCTCTCTCTCTCTTCTTCGAGATGGGAATAAAGTAGTAAACAACAGTTAAAAAAAATCAGCCAGTCTGTTCATCTTAGTTAACTGTGCCAATGCTTGGCAGCTCAGATCTTTCCCCCTTTTATCAGAAGTTTCTTGATGACTGCAGCATGCACAAACGCTTTAATATTCTCTTCCTCACTAGAAGGAACCTCCTTTCATGCTTCTTCCATGTTCCTATTCAAGCAGGCTTGGAGTTCTATAATGGTAACATAATACTAAGAAATATATTTACTTGCCTGCTTTTTTGCTTAATTGTCTTCATTTATGCACAGATACATTTTCTGAATTTACATGCTTCCTAAAACAGAAACTGAAAAAAAAGTTTATTTTGCATTTAACATGTTAATAATGTATAACAATATTCATAAGAGATTTGTAATTTAATACATGAGATATTTTTCACTATGTGCATGCTAATTATGCAGACTGTTTGTTGTGCAAGGCATTCACTGTTTAAGGTGCCACTGTAATTCTAAAACTATCTTCAAACCATCCTCATATCATTTTACTTATTTTAAATATATGTATGTATATTTCTGATACAGACAAAAGCCCAATTCAAGTGAAAAATTATTTTTGTCAAGCATGATCAACATGACAAATACGAATTACAAAAGAATATATTACATTAAAACATACATATTGGAATAAATACATGTGGAAAGTTGTACTTCTGAATAAGAAAGATTATTATTATACATAAGAAAAGTTTAAATCATTTCTGAAATTACAACAATATTAAAAATATGATAACTAAAATTATTAATAAAAATTTTCAAAAAATTAGAAGTATACATACAGAAACAAGCTGTGATAAATTTCCAGAGACTTGATGTGTAGTTTCTTGAATGACATTCTGTACTGCTTCTTTCACTTCATGGCACTGGTCATCAAATTTTTTAAACAACCTTTTTTCCATTTCAGCATATTCTTTATATAAATTTGACTCTAAGGTTTGTAACTACAATAAAATAGATGAAATGTTTAAACTTGAAATTTCAACAAAATGAACATTTAAATTTTAGTAATTTTGAGCTGAATTATATTGCAATCCACTTTCTAATCTGAATTTTGATCTGAAATATGTAATGATTAATTTCAGAAATAATAAAAATCAAAGCAAACAGCAATTTAAAAAAAGAAAAAAAAAAAACTAATTATCTGAAAATATGCACAATTATTTTATGTACAAGTATCCTGAACATTCCATCACTGAATATCATCTATTTTAACATTAAACAAAAAGAAATGAAATACAAATTTCTATATTGTTTACTCACTTTGTTACAAACTATAGTCTTCATTTCTTCTAGCATATTCCTCGATGCTTCTAATTCACTCCTTTCAGTGATCTGAGATTGTTTAATGGCCATCATTTCCTCCTTAAAAAGTAGGATTATTACAGATCTACATAAAACTCAGATCATAAAATGACACATATCCATAAAATAGATATTTTAAATTCATAAATATCAACATTATAAAAAGAAGGTGCTTTTTGATTCCCATAACCCAATGAAGTCAGAAACTCATTAGCAACTCTACGGAGTATTCACAAACTTGCTGCTGATTTTGGACTTATATCTTTTTCAATGATGCATATTTTTTTTAATAACATTCTTTCTTTCTCCCCCCCCTATAAAATATATGCACACTTCTTGGAGGAATTACAACAATCAGCAGTTGTGTCTGAGAATAAACCAAGTTATTTTTCACAGAATTTCACAGATGTATTTCCTTTGTTCAACAATAAATAACGCAAATGAGATAAGGCTATCATCAAAGAGTGTATGAACATGAGATACTTTTCATTTCATCACATTTTTCAGGACATTGTAGGTCTATAAATTTTGCCTTCAAAATAATAACCTATAAATTTTGCATTTAGACCTTACCAAGTGCAAGGTCTAAAATCGGAAAGAAAAATTATTCCTACCAATTCTGTAAGAGCAAAGAGCAAAAAAATTTTTGAAAAACATAATTAGAAAAGAGAAGTGTGCGGTGAATTTTCAAGAGAAAACTGATACACATTTAAATATTCTGAAATATTTACATGGGAAAAAAACTCAACATGAATACAGCAGGGTTACCACTCAAACAGGAGAATGAAATTCCCTGACTTTTAAAGGTTTTCCATGGGTGTTTAAAGAAATTCCAGTCTATGCACGTAATGCACGTTGGCTGTGCTAAGAAGTAAATTAATTATGGTACCATATAAAAACACAAAAATTTACCAATTACATATGATATATGCCAGCAAACTCTATAGTTACATTATAATTAGTTACAACAAAAACAAATATACTAATTGCAAAAAGAAATACTAATCAGATAAATGACTATTGAATTTCAAAACTGTATATTCACATGTACTCAAATACATGTGTGTTATGTGCATATCTGGGGGTTGCCCCATGAATATTTTTTGGTGACATGTGGATTGCCTTCTTAATACATTTTCACAATTTTTTGCTGGGGGTGTGCATAACCAGAGAAAAGTTAAAAAAGAAACTTAATACCTGCATTCGCCTGAGATCTTGCCTCCAATCAGCATTATTAAACTGTCTCATTTCAGACAACTGTTGCTCAAGTATTTCCTAAATATTAAAATTTTTACAGAAATATTAAATTTAATAATTCAGATACAAAACTATTTAATACAAGTTTCAAAAGTAATGTTACACATGTGTGAATTTGTGGACAGTCAAACGATAATTAATTAAAATTCAGTATGATCAAATTAACCAGACATAATTCAATGCAATTTATTACAAAAATCATTTCTATTCATGCTGATACAAATTTAAAATTTAATTACAGTCAGTGCTACTCAATATCAAGAAACATTATTTCAATATATATTTCTTGCTTTCACCAAAATTTACGTGAAAAATGCATAAAATGTTTAATGCAACTTTCACAAAAAATTACAGAATCCATTTTACAAATATTAAAAACTTTAAAAGAAATCAATACTATTCAGGTTTTTTTATCAATTAAATAGGTTTACTGGAATATTCTAACTAATATTTCTTTATGATACTAATTTTAAAATAAATTTGAAAATATACATCTGATATAGTTATATCAGATATTAAATTATAATCTAACTTGACGTAAGTAGAACAATTCAAATATGTAAAAAAATTTTTAAAGCCACTTACTTTAACGGATACTAGCGCTTTCCTACTAGGATACTAGTACGAACAGGAAAACATTAACAAGTAGTATTAGTACTAACAGTATTGGATATTAGTTTTATTATTAGTATTTTAATTTCAGAAGTCATATCATGTCTCTAATTAAAATTAGAAAAATATAATGATTAATGGAAGATATATTAAAAATTTAAAAAATCAAAATACCTTCACATAGTTATATAAAATATGAAATGCATCAAATGTTATCCTACAGTTAAAACAATTACCTTTCACTTAAACTGGAATATCAGTTTATATATATACATATATGTGCGTGTGTATATATATATATATATATATAAAGAGAGAGACATTAAGTTAAAACTTAAGAGGCAAAAGAAAACATGCAAGAAAATAAAGAATAATTATGAGCAAATTAATAGTATTGCTCATCATAAATGGAGTTGTTTTTAAAAACATAAAACTAAAAAGTGCCAAAATACAGTCTTGGAAATTATTAAAAAGTGAAAAAGGCTGTATAAAGATAATACACTTTTTCCTAATGATAATACACAACCATTCTGTTTCTGCAAGCTTAAAATTATCTGAGGCACTGAATTAGTAACATAAATACTTTCAGTACTCCTAAACATTAAAAACTCCTTCCCTACAGAACAAATCTAATGCATTAAAAAATATAATAATAAACAGTTTTAGTCCTATACATGCAAATACAAGCAAAAATTTCAAATAAGTATAAAAAATATATAAATTAAACTCAGTGCCATAACAGTCCTTGTAGGCCACAGCCTGCAGTGCCCTGATATCTGCTTTTCTGACCGTGGGTCCTGGGTGCCCTGAACAAGTGGTCAGATTCTTGCTAACCCCCCCCCCCAGCACACACACAGTTAGTCCCTAAGCAAACTTGATACTCATTTTATTGATCCACTCATGGGATGAAAGACTGACTCAACCTTGCCCAGCCAGGGAATCGATCCCCAAACCTGTGCACGACACTCTAGACACAGTATCACTGGGACTCACAAAAAATGTAGAACTCCTTAAATGTTTTAATCTGTTGTCAGTTACTTCTACCAAGTCATCTTATTACAACAATAATGCACTCTTATTTCAAAAGTAATGCAGTTTTATTATACATATAGTGAATTTTAATATTAAAAATGTATAACTTTTGTCTTTACTTTTGATTTTGAATTTGAATATGCGAGAGTCTGCGAATATTTTTTCTTGAGAAAGGATCTTATACCTAATCTCTCTCTATTATTAATGAGTAACTTAAACTGAAAAGAATATCTAACTCATTTTTATTTAGTTTATGACAGGTCTTTTGGTTTAAATGGACTAATTTCTTTCTATTCATTGAGTATTGTTCATAACTTATAATCTAGCTCTAACATAATAATTTAGTCCTTACTTGGAAAAAAGATAAAATACTCTCATTTAAATGCATTATTGTTGATTAATAGTAGATTGGTTTTGTTCCCCTTGACAAGTCAATTAATCTGCAATCAATGATATAAACTGTCTTTTCTTTACAAATTTTAAATGGCTTTTATTGCATTAGAGGACTAAATAGCACTGATTTAAAATGCTAATAAGAATACTAATTAAAATGTTTTTCTCATAATATATTATGCCTTTAATTGAATTTCTGTTCCTTGGAGATAATATATGAAAAAAATCTAATAATAAATTATTGGTTTATTACTTAGCACCTTTAGCACAAGTTTTAGGCTTATTAATTTACTCATAATTATATATATTACAAGTATGTTTCAAAAGAATAAAGTTAAATTTAAATATTTCTCTTGCGCCATTGCTGCAAGGAATGAAATTTGAATTTAACAAATATTCTCTATTTATATAAAGCTAATATAAATTTAAAATTTAATTAAAAAATGTTAATTGCAAAAATAAAAATAATTATTGCAGCGAACTAACTTGCAATATCATTCAAAGAGCATATGTAAATTAAGTGCATGTATCTAAAACCATGAAAAAATATATAATATTCCAAAATATTCTTCTCAAAAAAATTTTTAATGAATTTCTATGACCAAATTAAATTGCATAAGTGAATAATTGTTGAGCATGCAGGAGACAGACTTATCAAGGGGAAGAAGTTGCCTCCAAACCTAACTGTTCAATTACTCAATTCATGTTTTGTCATCCATTATAAGCAAAGGTAAAAGTAAAATTTAAAACCAAAAGTTAAACCAGATGTTGTGAATTACTAAAGCAGAAATTTAAACTAGTTAGAATTTTCAGAAATTTAGCAAGTAAAATGACTAGGAATTAAAAAATTAATTAAATTTCAATTAAGCGTAGAAACCAAATTTTTAAGAAAAACCAATGTAATTTAGAAACTCTTGCCTATTGAAAACTTCCCCCACACGAATTATGCATGTAAACCTAAAATAAACTATATACAACCTATCAAAATATAATAATAATAAAAAGGCTAGTAAATAGCAATTTTAATTTAACTCACCTAGAACTACATATTTGAATTCCTGAGTGTGGACTAGCATTTGCTAAACTAGGTGAAGTTGAGTCGTTTGTTACTGCTAACTGTATAAATAGAGGGTGCTAATACAATGTAAAGTTGAGTGTTAAACTGCTACCTGTGACAGCTCTTATAAAAAATCTATGTTGTAAACTTTAATAATGTAAAATGCTTCTTTTGTGTGCAAAAATGTTGCTAACTTTGAGGCATTGTTAAAATGTGTAAAAACGTAAAAATTGTGAACTGCTACTACTGTTTGTGAAAATAGATGTTGCAAATACTAAAGATGTAAAAATTTGAAAAAATGTTTTTGAAAAAAAATTTTTAGTAAAATTAAAAGTTCAAATAAACATTTTAATAATTGAATTAATTTAATTTTAATTTGAAGTAGAAAATTTTAATTTTTAAAAATTTTTTTAAATCATAAATTGAAATAATGGAGAATTATTGTCATAAATTTTTTTGTACTAGACTGCATATTTAAAACTGAAGTTCTACAATTTTAATCAAAACGTTAACTAAATACTGGCCAAAGGTAAGGAAAATTAGAAAATTAGATTAAAATCTTCACTCAGTTAGGGCTATAATTGAGACCTTTGAAAAGAGATGGCCCTTCATTAGTAAAAGGAAAGAATCCAGTATTGATAAAAATATACATTTTTACAAATTAATATTTACAAGTAACTCTTTAACTCAGTGTTTAACAACGTGGGACCCGTGCCCCACAAGGGGGCAATGCAACTGTTAAGGGGGGCAATTCGAAAATGAACTCATCCAGATTTTAAGGGGACAAAGGACGTTCAAATTTCTAAATATGCTTCATGAAGTCAAAATTTTTCGAAATTCCATTCGACCCCCCCCCCAAATAAAATAAAGAAAAATGTAAGTGATGTATACATAAAAAAGTTTTTAAACTGCGGTGCATTTTAAATATTTTATAAAGAATTCTCATTGTAGACATGGACATTTAAATGCTTTTAAAAGTCATCTAAATAACTGACACAGTATGCTTTCCAGACATTTCTTGCACATTTCAGCCAACGAATTTATTTTATTTTTTACTGTAGAAATGGCAACCGGTATATTATTCTTTCCTTGAATGGCAACAGCAGCTGCTTTCAGCTTTGATCTTGTATTTATTTCTTTCAGCCCTTAGTGAAATGAGGAGTACAAGCAAGAAAAAAGTTCGTTGGTATTCGGAGGCATATTTAAAATTTGATTTCATACCCGGTGCATAAACGGTCAACTTCTGCCTTTTATGCCAATAATGCCTGACCAACGAATCAATGAAACTAGGTTGTCTTGAGGCACATTTGAAGGCGAAACTTTTTGCTGATATTAATTCAGATTTTATTTATTTTCACACTTTAAGGAAAAATTTTGAAAAAAGAGTAATATTAAAAGTCTCTATTTACTACTCATAATGCAATTGCTAATCATGCTATTTATTAAATTTCATTACTCATCGTTTAATCTGGGAAAAGCCATACTACAGTGGAGAATTTAATCAAACCATCAATATCAGCATTTAAAACTGTTCTAGAAAAAGATGACAAAGACGTTAAAGCTTTCCCACTAAATAACAATACTGTTTGCAGAAGAAAGATGAAATGAGTGAGGATATTGAAAACAACTTGTTGAAAAGCTGAAAACAAGAAAATTTTAGATGCAAATGGATGAATCAACTTTGAGAGACAGCGAGGCCGTACTTGTAACTTATGTATGATATGTTCATAAACAGGATTTTGCCGAAGAAATGTTCTTCTGTAAATCATTAGAAAGCATCATTACCTCCAAAGCTATTTATAGTAAGCTAAAAAATTACTTAGATATAAAAAATATACCAATAAAAAATATAATACATCTTATACTGCAAATGGTGCTCCTAATATGATGGTTGAAAAATAAAATAAAGCACGGAATAAAAGAA